TTTTTTTTTTGTTTTTCTCCAGTACCAGGAACCGAACTCACGACCTTGTGCTTGCCAGGCAGGTGCTTTTGCCGCTGAGCTAAATCCCCAGCCCCCACACTTAATTTTAAAAAGTATGTTTTCACATTGACTTGAAAAGCAATCCTCATCGCATACTTTTGCTTGCATTGATGGAATTTCTTCCATTTTCTTAGTCAATCTTTTACCTGAAATAGGATAAGTGCTTAGTCTGTGTTTGTTATTGTTAATCTGAATACAGAAATGAGACCTAATTCAACTGATTTGCTTAGGACCTTACAGAAAGTAGCTAGAACCTTAATTCAACTCTTGTTTTTTTCCTTGGGCTTGAACTCATTTTATTATACTACATAATGAGACTGTGAGGCACAGAAAATATTCTGCACAGAAGCCCCTGGCACTGTTTCTCAGGGCTCTGTGGGCTGAACCACCACTTAGTGGTGCATGTCCTCTTGGGTATCTAAGGATGGGGTCAACATGGAAAAGGTCTCAAGATACAAGAGAAAGAAAGAGAGAGAGAGAGAGAGAGAGAGAGAGAGAGAGAGAGAGAGAGAGAGAGAAAAGAAACAAAGAAAAAAAAGAAAGAGAGAAAAGTTACTTGCTTTTTGTTGAAAAATTATTTTTGCATTTTACTGGGTGTGTAATTATTAAATAATTTGGGGTTTCTATAAGTACACATACACACATATCCACATATAAATATACATGCACATAGGTACATGTATATTATTTTTAGATTCAGATCCTCTAAAGAACTAACCTACATTCATTCATTTGGTTTCCATATCCTTTTATTTGGTTTTGTTTTTTGTTTGTTTTTTTTTTTGTTTTTGTTTTAAGAGTCTCACTATGTAGGCCAGGTTGGCCTTGAACTCACAGTGATTCTCCTGCCTCAACCTCCTGAGTGCTGGGATTATAGGTGTGTGCCACCATCACACCTAGCTTCCATATTTTCTTGATACTACATTCATCCAAATAAAGAAATTGAATTCTTCTCCAAGTAATACAAACTTCCATAATCTACTCTGATTACAACCAATCTATCGAAATCTATATATTATATAATTTTACCATGTGATAAGGCAAGCTTTCTCTTGACATTAACAAGAAATATATTTCTTAGCTGCAAAAACAATTAGCATAAAATGTTCATTAGTGGCTTACTTTACACCAGGCTCTACAATACAGTGAATACTTGGGGATTGTTTGTTTTTTGTTTGTTTTTCACTGTTTCAAAATTACTAGTTTGCTGAATTATGGTGAAGTGAAAGTCCATCTTCCCTCCAGCAAAGCATAT